TTAGCTCAATTTTATACTCCTTTTGTTTTGTGGTCCAGAATATGCTCTATCTTGGTGAATGTTCCATATGAACTTGAGAAGAATATATATCCTCTTGTTATGTGGTGGAGTGTCAGTTTGGTTATTTGGTTACCAAACTTCAGGTAATTTAGATGCTTGCTGATTTTTTCTGCTTACTTCTAAAAGAGGTGTGTTAAGGTCTCCAATTGTATTTGTAGATTTAATTTTTTCCCCTTTCAATGCTATCCATTAATTTTATTATTATTATTAAGTATGTGCTTCTTTAAGAGATGAGCCCAGGAGTTTGCACATAGCTTGGGGCACCAAAGGCTAGAGAGAAACTAGGTCAAAAGCATCCAATTAAGAACCTAGTGCAGGGCATATTCTCCCCCAGGGTTCTATGTAAGTATTGGTATGCTTTTTCCCCCGTGGGAAGATGGGAAGTTTTCCACTGGGTTAACCTGCCAGTAGAAGTATAATTCCCCATACATGTCCTCCTTGCCCTGCCACATCTTGTCTTGAAATTCCAGTAAGGTTTGCCTATCGCTTTTTAAAAAAACTTTTTGTTGCTTATCACTCTTATGGGAGTGTCTGTTGGTTTTTGGCATCTTAGCACAGTGTTTTATGGCAGCAACTGATGGTCTAAGAATAATTGATGCATTTGAATTGTGCTGGAGAAGAATACTGAAAATACATAGACTGCTAAAAGGAAAAATAAATCTGCCTTGGGAGAGGTAAGGCCAGAATGCTCCTTAGAGGCAAAGATGGCAAGACTTCACCTCGCATACTTTGGACATATTGTCAGGAGAGACCAGTCCCTGGGGCAGGACATCATGTTTTGTAGAGAGACAGCATAGAAGAGGAAGGCCCTTAAGGAGATGGATTTGACACCATGGTTGCAACAATGGATTCAAGCATAGGAACAGTTGTAAGCATTCTGTAGGGTGGGTAGGGTTTCCTTCTGTTGTGCCAAAGGTCACTGTGGGTTGGAAGTGACTAGATGCCACCTAACAACGATATAAAGGGAGTGATCTATGGTTCAAGAGTGCCAGGCAGTTCTCTATCTCCTTTATTGGGAGGCCAGATTAGAAGATGACATGACTTGAGAACAGAAGGCTGCCTTCTTCTTGATGTTTATCCTTCTAGTAGTGGGCTCATTCAATAGGTTCCCTTTTGTGATTGACTAACTTCACTCAGCATAATTGTTTCCAGATCTGTCCATGTCATGAGCTGCATCATCGCTTTTTCAGGGATTCATACTATTCCATTTCACATATGTATCATAGTTTTTTTATTTATTCTTTTACTGATGGGCATTTGGGCTGTTTTCAGCTTCTCGTGATGATGAATTGTGTTGCAATGAACATGGGAGAGCATGTGTCTAATCAGGTCCTCTCTTTTATTTCTTTGGAAACACCAGCAAAGGTATTGCTAGGTGGTATGGTATTTCTATTCCCAGTTGCTCTGGGTAATGCCATATTGCTTTCCATAATGGCTGTATATGTTTACAAGCCCATCAGCAATGTTTTAAGCGTTCCAATCTCCCAGCCTTTTTTTGTTATTTGTTTTTTGAAATGGGCTCTTGTTGTGGCTGTAAAGTGTTATCTTACAATTGTTTTAATTTGACTAGTGATCATAAGCATCTTCTCATGTGTTTGTTAGTTATTCAAGTGTTGTACCCTTGTGAATTGTCTATTCATGTC